ATAGTTTAATTATTATTTATTTTTATATTTATTAGGATTATTTTCTTATAATTGTTTTAATTAATTAAATGAGTTTTATAGAATATTTTAGAGGTTTTTAATAATTATAAATATTTTAATTAAATAATAAAAATTTATGAAAATTATTTTGTGTAATATTTATTAGAGAACTATGTATTCTTATGATATTTTTTTATAATAAGTATTTGGAGAAAATTATGTGTTTTATTGTAATTATTTATATATTTTATTTTAATTATTTATAATAAGGGAAGGAAAATTATTTTTGATAACCATGGTTCACATTTTACTAAAGAGTTAAAGGGAGGTTAGGTTTTAAAAAGAAAAAAAAAAAAGAGAAAGCTGATCAGTTTTACATTTTACATTTTCCTCACGTACGCGTTTACAGTTCAGAGCTCGGAGAACCAGAAGGAGGAGGAAACCACCCCAGATTTAACCATTCATCTTTTTCTGCTCAACAAGGTAAGGGAGAGTGAGAAACCTCGCTCTGCGTGTGGGAATGTATGTTGGATAGTGGGATTGGTCCCCAATCCTATGTTTATTGTATGCTCATGTATGAGGGGTTTTCCCCAATTGTGTCTGTTTCATCTATTATTCTTCTTGTATGTAATTAATTGAATGAATTTCTCGAGTGAATGATTAATTTCAGTTTTAGAATTGTAATTGTATGATTTGAGATCTCTATGGGAGCCTATGGGAAACCCTAAGGGAATGCATTGATAGTTATAAGAGAAGATTGTTTAAAGATGTAATTGTATGAGTAAATTGTATTATTTTAAATGTTTATCGTATGATTTAGAACATTTTTACCGATTGTATGAAGAGATCAATGATTTGGATACAAAATGCGAAAAATTGCAAATTTGCAGAGTTCTGATCATAGAAACCACGCTAAGCGTTATTTCTGGCACTAACCGTCAAGGTGACAGAAAGTTGATAATGTTGTTTGTGACCCTCAAGCTAAGCGTGAGCCTAAGGCTTAGCGTGGTCAAGCTGAGCGTGAGATTCCATGCTTAGTGTGGCTCAACCAGAGAGTTAAAATTACTCGCCAGAAGCCTTGTGCTGAGCGCTCAATCTGGGGCTGAGCGCCAGTTGTCCTGCTGAGGAAAGGCTTTAGACGGTGCCCATTAACTTTGAAGCTCTTGTCTGTGGATTCACTTTTG